CAATGAAATTTCTGGGCTACGCTGCGTTTCCAGGGATCCCACGGGGCATCTGCAGCACGTCGTCGTCGTCGTCAACCGCGGCGACGGCGGCGAGGCTCAATAGTTTCGATAGTTTCGATGGTCCTCAATAGCAATAGAATTCGGATGGTGTCGATGAGAACCAAAGGCCCAAAGCAGGACTTCTCTTCGATGTCAAGACAATAAGGATTCCTCCCCTGCCTCTCTCATTCCCACCGCCCCCCGCTCCCCCCTCCCGCGAAATCACTGAAGTCACTGAACTGTGGGCATGCTATAGGCTGCATCGCTCGACGGGCCCTGCACCCTCGGGGATCCCTCTTTTTTGATCACGCCGGGGGGATCCTCAAGTGCTCCTCACGGTCCAACATGCTGCCCAGAAGGTGCTACTTCCCCCCAGGAACGAAAAAAGCCACGTATGTGGGCGCCTCGTCCGGGCCCTCCTTGGCGGCCTCCAGCGCTTAGCCTCGGAGGCGAGCGCCCAACGCTGCAAAAACTCCGCGGGGGTAGCAGCACTGGCGCCACAGCGGAGCCCAACGCGCCGCCGCGCTGGCCCCGGGCGGGGGGGAGAGGGCAGAGAGGGGGGGCAGAGAGGAGGGGAGAGAGGAGGGGAGAGGAGGGGGAGGGGAGGGGAGGGGGGGGAAGGGGGTAGAAGGGGGGGGGGGGGGCAGGCCGACTTCGCCCGGCGGAGGGGGGAGGAGAGGAGGCGGGCAGAGAGGCGGGCGGCGGCGGCGGGGGCGGGGGGGGGCGGGCGGGCGCGCGGGCGGGCGGGCGGCGAGGAGCGCGCGGGCGGCGGGGCTGGTGCGGAGCGGGGCGGGCAGGCGGCGAGGAGGGGGGCCGGGCGGAAGGCCCCACCCCCCCGGCGAGGCTGGAGCTGACCGGGAGGGCCGTGGGTACGCCGAGGCCGGGCGCGGGGCGCGCGGCGCGCCCGGGCGTCGCCCCGCCGCCGGGCGGCGGCCCAGCCCCGGGGAGCGGCGGCCAGGCGGCGGCGGCCGCACGGAGCCCGCGGGGTGCCCGCGGGGCGCAGGGGTGCCCCCGAGGCTCGCAGCCCAGACCCCCTCGAGTCATGAAAGAATCACGACGGGAGGTTTTTCGCTATTTTCGGCCTCGGGGGGCCCCTGCCGGGCCTCGGGGCTGTCAAAAAACGAGTCAGGATGAAAAACCGGTCTCGGGGAGTGGGTGCAAACCGCTGGGGGTCGACGTCATGAAAAAGTCACGACGTCGGGGGTCTGGGAGGGTCGGGTTCTCGGAGGATCGAGGCGTTCGGGCGCGGCCGCGGCGGTGCTCGGCGGCGTGCTAAGATTTAGCCTCGGGGTGCCCTCCAGCAGCTCCGCCGAGGGCGTGGTGTTCGGCGGTGCCCGGAGATCGTCCCGAGCTGCCGCCAGAGGCCCGGGTTCTGGAGGCAGGGACCCCCTCGTGATTCTGGCGTCGTAAAAGCTCGGCTGCCACTGGGCGGCGCAGGAGCAGGCCAGCCACAACTGGGGGAGTTGTGGTCCTTACCCCCCTGGGGGGCCCATCGATCTCGACACCCCTCTCGAGAGATCGTCGACGCGATGGGTTCCCCCAGGGGGGTAAGGACCACAGCTCCCCCAGTTATGGCTGGTCGGAGGAGATCGGCGTCGTTTGCGCCGACAGTATTGCGCGTGAGCTGCCCCTCTAAGGTTGCGCGTGGGTGCCCTCGTCTCCAGAGTAGCGCGCTGCGCTGGCGGCCTGCACATAAGCCGCCGCGTCAGATCTGCTTCTTTTCGTCGCTCCACTGGTGAGTTTGCCATGTTTCTGTGGAAAAACACACAAACACACATGTGGGAACACATACACACACACACACAACACAAAAAACAAGCAACACGCACACACACACACACACACACACACACACACACACACACACACACACACACACACACACACACACACACACACACACACACACACACACACGCACGCACGCACGCACGCACGCACGCACGCACGCACGCACGCACGCACGCACGCACGCACGCACGCACGCACGCACGCACGCACGCACGCACGCACGCACGCACGCACGCACGCACACACACACACACACACACACACACACACACACACACACACACACACACACACACACACACACACTTTTTTCCCCACGAGTTTTTTTTTCCCCACGTGCGTTTTTTTCCCACAGTGTTTTTTCCCCACAGTGTGTTTTTTCCCACAGCCCCAGGGCCCTCACAGATGGATTCTGCTAGAAACCATGCCGCAGAAAGTTGGGGTCCAGGGCTCCGGCCGGGTTTCTGTGCAGTGTTGTATTGTCCCGCGGCGTCCGATGTCACGGCCAACGCAGACCTCCGACGACGGCTTTTCGGTCACACAGTGGTGCTGCCGGAGGCTCTCGGAGCAACGCCCCCCGATCGACCCCGCCTGGTCGACCAGGCGGGGTCGGAGGATCCTGCCGCCTCGCTCGCGCAGCAGCGCTGCGGCGCGGTCTGGGGTATCCCAGTCTACCCGTCCCGACGTCGCTGGTGCATCGGCGATGCATCGGCGACACGGCGCGGTCCGCCAACCTCGGGGCGAACGAAAGGGGGGGATTGGGAAAGGGGGGGTTACGAAATCTGCTGCACGCAGCTGGTTCCGGCCCACCGAGGGGCCCCATTCCTCGATACATGGCCGCCTCCAGCGCCGGGAGGCGTCGGGAAAATCAGCTGCGTGAGCTGATTCTCAAACCCCCCCTTTGCTGTCCCCCCCTTTCGCCCGGCCCGACAACCCCGCCCGCTCAGATCTCCGACGTCCCTGGAAGTCTCGACCCTTCTCTGGGACTGGTTGTTCCTCCCGAGCTGTACGTTGCCCGTCCCGAGGCCCAGAAGGGGGCCCCCGACAATCCTCCCAATACACAGAGGAGGAGCACAGCGAGCAGGAGAAGGAGCAGGAGGAGAAACAAGAAAAGGAGGAGGGAGATGAGAAGGTAGGGGATGAGGAGGATTCGGCGGATGAGGAGGAACACGTCGAGGAGGAATAGCCCCAGGAGGATGAGGAGGATCCGTATGAGGAGGGGGACGAAGGAGGAGCGAGTTGAGGAGTTACTGAAGAAGGAGGAGGGGGAGAGGGAAGATGACCAGGAACATCAGGATGAGGAGGATGACGAGGAGAAGGAGGAGGAGGAAGAGGAGGAGGAGGAGGAGAAGGAGGAGGAGCAGGAGGAAGAGAGGAGGGCGATGATAAGGAGCAGGTGTAGCGGAAGGGGTGCGGGCGAGGGCGAGAAGGAGAATGACGTGGATGCGGAGGAGGAGGCTGAGGAAGACGACGACTACGACGAAAAGCTCGGCGACTACGCCGAAGGCGCAGGCGTGTCAGGAGCAGGAGGACGCGCGAACACTCTGAGGAGCAGCCTCGGCGAAAGCAAATGTTTGGGGATGCGGGCTTCTGGCTACAATTTGCAGTCCCGAGGCCGGGCGAGAGCCCCGGGAGGCCGAGAACGGCCCAAACTCTCCGCTCCCTTTTCTGTCGGAGCGTCGGATCTCTTGGGCTTGTTGGACCAGTTCCGACGGCCCTGCCCAGGGCGGCAGCCGGCACGGACCGCCCGCGCGGCTCTCGGGAGACTTTTTGTCGGGGCCCGCGAAGCTCTAGAGCGGCAGGGCTCGAGGACGGCGAGGGTGCAGGATCGATAAAACAGGGCCAGGATCGGGATAAATCGCTCCAGAGCGTTCCGGAGCGCTCTCAGAGCGTTCCGGAACGCTCTGGAGCTGCCGCGGCGCCCAATACATCCTCCAAACCCGCCGATTCTCAGAGATTTCGAGTTGTCCCGATCCGATGTTGTCCCGATCTTCGCGTCGTTTTAATCGAGGCGCTCTTGCCTCTCCGGCCTCCCGTCCCTCCGCCCTCCTGCCGCTTTCTGGCCACCCTGTTCGCCGCCGTTCGCCCACCGCCAGCACTGGCACTCGCGGGAAGGACCTCCTGTTCTGACCGCGGCTCCTTCTTTCCCACCTCTCCCCTCTGCCCGCCGCCTTTCATGCCCGATTCGCCTTCGGAATGCCCCTCCAGTCGCTAGACCGTGACCAAGAAAGTTCGCCTACCACGCAGGCAAGGCAGCGACTAAGCCAGCTCTGTAGAAAGGCGAAGGCAGCACGTCCCAGGTTGAGCAGACTGTCACGTTTCAGCTAAGCGCGGAGCCGGATAGTTTGTTTGTTCCTGTTCTTGTGCGCAGATATCACGTAAGAAATCAATCCTGTGCACGCGCGTGAGCTTAATCACCGTGTGAAGCTCCAGGTAGCATAAAGACTGACATCCACAGTTGTCACAGATAATATGATTCAAAACGCATTCCGCCAATTTCATTACAAAAGCTACATTCCCAGTTGAAAGAAACCATTCCAACGTAAAAAGCTGAAGCTGACGCTACAGCTAAAGCGTCAAGCTGCCATTGAATATGTGGCTTTAATGTCTCATGCTGTGCCCTGTCTGGTGCTTCCCCTCTCCCCAGCTACAGCGACAGCCTACAGCGCGTGTCCCATGGCGCCCCTTTATTGTCCCCTTGCGGCACATGCTTGAGTTGTCACACGACAGTCAAAAGTATAGCCAACGCGATCTCCGAAATACAGAGTTGCCGCCGAACAGCGCCAGAGCCTTCAGCCGCGTACAGTCACGTGCGGCCACTGTCAACGCTACACCAAGCCGCATTGACCCGCGAACGAGCATGAGCCACAAATCGAGCTACGAATGAAGCACGCGCGCGGTCGCTCCCGCAATCTTGGTTTGACCAGACACGTCTCACCGTGCGACGTTCTACGTTGTTTGCTTCTCCTTGTCGGCACTTTCCAGACTTCGCATGTCTCTGAGATCCGACGCCACAAAATTGCAACATCTTTGAAATTCGATCAGACCCCTAGACCCCAGCATCCTCCTGCATTTTTCGCGCCGGATCGAGTCGTGAGGTCCCAGGGGCCCGAACTATGTCAAAACCGCCCGCTGCGAAGGAATGCGACACCAGGAACTTTGGCCCCCGCAGCCCCCCGGCCCAAGCACCCGGCCGACCCGGCTGGTCCCGGGTCGCCGCCGCCCGAGCGGGCGGGGCTGCGCGGTGCCGGCCCGCCCTCTCGTCAGATGCTCGCCCAGGGGACCTGCCTGCGGACGATCTGCTCGATCCCAGCTCAACCCAAGCTCGGCTGCAGTTCGGCTCCAGTGCGACGGGACCTTCGGCGCAGCGTCGACGCCACGAGTGGAGCGAGAGCGGCTGCCGGAAGGCCCCCAGGACGAGCATCGGACCCCCCGTGGCCCTCGCGTGGCCCCGGCCCCACGCCGAGCCCCTCTCGGCCATGAAGCGGAGAGTCACGGTGAGGTGTGCCGCCGCGAACGACGACGAGGGCGGCTCCTCCGCCTCTGGCGACGAGCCGGCGCGCGCCGCCGCCAAGCGGCGGAAGGCGCCTGCGCCGCCACCCCGGGAGGGTGCGCGGCAGGCCGCCGCCGAGCGGGCCCCAGAGGCGGGCGCCAGCGGGCCCGGGCCAGGGCGGAAGAAGGAAAAAGAGTTCGCGTGGATGGATTCGGACGAGGACCCAGACCTCCTCTGAGATGACTGCAGGGGGTGCTCAGGGGATAGGGGTCTCAGAAGCGGAGGCGAAGGTGCGTTATGTCTGGCCTAGCCTTGCTGATAGGTGCCTGCATGCGCCCTCAGGAATTCAGGGTGCTTGGATCACTCCGCCAAGTAGGCTCCGCCCACTTGAGACCAATTTGCATCCTCCCTGAACCAGTTAGGGCATTGGTAGCCCACTTATAAGCCAGGTTAGGCCATATGTAAGCCACCTTAGCGTCTGCTTCTAAGCCCCCGATCCCCTTAGCAACCCCCGCGGTCCTCTCAGCTCGCGTCGTGAAGCAATCACGGCGGACGGATTCGGACCCTTTTCGGCCATCAGGGGCCCTCGCCGGGCCCCGGGGTCGTAAACAAGACGACTCGGGACGGAAAGCCAGTCCTGGGGAAGGGTCGACACCCTCGAGGGCCCGCGTTTCTGCAAGAATCACGGCGGTCGGGGGTCTGGGGAGGAGGACGGCGAGGGCGAGGGCGAGGCCGGCGCATCCGCCGCCGCCGCGGGGGCGGGCGGCGCAGAGGAGGAGGAGGAGAGCGAGGCGCTGAGCACGCAGGCGCTGGACTCCGTGCAGAGTTTCGGGCGCATGATGCTGCTGGCCCCCGCGATCACCAAGTGGCTCAAGGGGGGCACGATGAGCCCAGAGGAGGTGGGGGCGACCTGCAGGGCGATGAGCCGCACCAAGTTCTTCGACGGCGACATGTTGAAGGACCTGAAGGAGGTTCTGATGAGGATGTTGTCGGCCGACCAATTGGACGTTGCGTCCGTGCACGATGCCGTCATGTGCCTGTGGGAGCTGAACGCCTATGACCAGAGGCTGTTCAGCGCGGTGGCCAAGGCCCTCAGACCGAAGGTCGTCTTTCTGGAGCAGAGGATTAGATGCAGCTGGCTGGAGGTGTATAGAGGCTTCGGCCACTCGCACGAGAAGGACTTCCTTCAGCTCCTTGAGGTGCCCCCTCTGCTGCCAACGAGCCCAGCGTATCTGAAGATACGCTGTAGATTTTTCGACACGGCCTCGTGCTCCTTGGGCCCGCTGTGCACGTACAGCCACGACCCCAGGGCCCCCGTCACTTTGGAGGTGGACACCGTGGGGCGCTCATCCCCGCTGGTCATGACACAGAACCAGTACAGCATGGGCCGAGAGACCTACGGGGGGACCTTCCAGTACGGCGGCAAGACGACCCCCTTCCACACGAAGTGAGGAAGGCCTCGCTGGAATAATAAAGAACGTTACAAACATGAGCTGTCGGAGGCCCGCGCAAATTTCTCGGATCGACGCGTGACCCCCCCCCTCTCTGGCGCGCGGAGCGCGCCAGAGGCGGCGTCGGCGGCGCCACCAGGGAGGCCAGTCGCCGACTGGTAAGGGTAGGGTTGCGCACAGGCCTTAGTGGGCCCTGGAAACGACAGGGCCGTGTTTTACCGATTCCGTTTTGCCGTTTTTGTTGCCGGTTCCGACGCCGGTTTTTTGCCGGTTCCGTCGCCGCTCTTTTACGGGTTCCCGCTCCGGTTCCAATCCTGGAGCCGTTGTTGTTGCAGTTTTCGGTCGCCGTTCTTTGGCCGCTTCCGTCTTCAAGGGACACTTTTTCGGAAATGGTGGAAAAAACGGCACTGCCGTTTCCGGGGCCCACTAAGCCCTGACGTCTTCTCGTTGCCATACGGAAAAGGTTTGCAACTGGTCGGCTTCTGCGGGCTCGTGCCGGGCCCCGGGACCGTCCAAAGAAGGGCTCGGGATGAGAAGCCGGCCTCGGGGAAGGGGTCGAGACCTCAGGGGAGCCACTGGGATTTGACGCTGTCGCTTCCGGGGCCCACTAAGGCACAGGCAGCTCCCCAAGGTAGTCCCGGCTGGCCTCGACAGCCCCCCCCCGCCCCTACAGTCGAGACGGGAGGAGGAGGAGGAGGAGGAGGAGGAGGAGAGAGAGGAGGAGGCGGGGGGGGGGAGGAGGAGGAGGGAGGAGGAGAGAGGAGGAGGAGGAGGGAGGGGAGGAGAGGAGGAGGAGGAGGAGGGGAGGAGGAGGAGGGGCGGGAGGGGCTGTCGAGGCCGGCGGGGGCCTCCTTAAGGGGGAGCTGCCTGTGCGCCACCCGGCCCCCTCCGCTCGGCCATGGACCCCCTTGGCTGCCTCTGGGGAGGCTGCCCGCGCGCCAGCAGCAGGCTCACCCGTCGCCGGTCCAGGAAGCTCGCGCGGAGCCTCCGAGAGCTCACGTCCTTGCCGCTGCCCGCTCCTCGGGGCGAGAGGCTCCGCTCGCAGCCCGCCGCGCGGAGTGCTCGCGAGCCCGCTGCCGAGGTGTGCCGGTGGTTCAGAGATAGGGTCCTGAGGGATGGGGCCCTCAGGATCGGAAGGGGTCCAAGGGCGGATTTACGCTGTGGAGGGATCCAAGGGTGGATTTACGTTGTTTGAGGCACCTCGTCTTTGAGTCGGCGGTGAGCTCGGGGGGGAGTGAGAAGGGGCGGGCCTTCTCAGAAGGCTCGGAAGTCACCCGTCACCCGCCCCATGATAACTTCTCTGAGCCGTCGCCGAAGACGCAGCAAACTCCTCAGAAGTCCCGTCGCCTTCTGAGAAGGCCTTCTCCTTCGCACTTCCCTCCATCGCTCGCCTCCGATTGAGTCCCCATCCCTGAGGACCCCATCTTTGAACCACCGAGTACGGGCGCCACTCGGCAGCCCGGGCGGGCGGGCCGCGGCTCATCGCATCGGCGCCCCTCCACTGGTGGCTGGTCCGCGGCGGGGGGCTCCATGAGCCCAGGCGTCGGCGAGGCCAGTCGACGCCCAGCATCCTCCAGCGACCTCTGGGGCCTCGCGGTGGGCGCGGTGTCGTGCGAAAATGTGCCCCCTGATCTCGGTTCGGATGCAGCTCTTGCGAGGTTCAGTTCAGCATCGGCGATCGTATACCCGTGGCGAACAACTGGCCAAGTCCGCATAATCTCGCTCAATCCGGCGCAATCCCGCGCAACGTGGTTCAATCCGGATTCATCTTGGGTTTAATCCGGGCCAATCCAGCTGCATGGCCTTTGATCGTGCTCAATTGCCTTGGATCGCCTTTCCAGGACTTCCACGGATGTTTCCCACATCCAAAGTGGGGTTCTTGTTTTCTCTGGACACCCTCCGCGCAGGAACCTCACTTCCCCCCCACTCCCCGCCTCACTCACGAATTCACCCCGTCATCGCTCCCCATCACCATCGGTCAGCATCATCATCATCACCACCACCGTCATCATCATCATACTCAGTCACTCACCATCGATCACCATCACCATCGGCCATCGATCATCGATCATCGATCATCATCATCTTCATCATCATCATCATCATCATCATCATCAGCATCAGCATCAGCATCAGCATCAGCATCAGCATCAGCATCACCACCGCGGCCATCATCATCATCATCATACTCAGTCGCACATCACACATTCTCTCCTCACTCAGGATCATTTTCTCTGGACGCCCAGCGCAGGAACTCCTCAGGCCTGAATATGGAGGAAGTCTTAGGCGGGAGCCTCGTCTGTGAGTGAATTGTGAGGAAGTCTCAGGCGGGAGCCCCCTCCCTATGGGGCCCGCACTTCATGTTGGTAATCAAGAGCGGGTCATCCTCATCCGTGTAACTGTCGTCATGTTTGGGCTCCTGAGGCTTCAAGATGGAGTAAGTATCAGGCCGGAGCCTCGTCTCTGAGTGAACTGCGAGGAAGTCTCAGGCGGGAGCCCCCTTCTCATGGGGCCCGCAGCCCATGTTTTTCAGAAAGTCTCAGGCGGGAGCCCCCTCCCTATGGGGCCCGCACTTCATGTTGGTAATCAAGAGCGGGTCAACCTCGTCCGTGTAACTGCCGTCACTTGTGGGCTCTTGAGGCCTGAATATGGAGGAAGTATCAGGCGAAAACCTCGTCTGTGAGTGAATTGTGAAAAAGTCTTCGGCGGGAGCCCCATGTTTTTAATCCGAGGCGGGCCATCGGAATCCTGTAAGTGTCGTCGCTTTTCGGCTCCTGGGGCTTGAATATGGGGGAAGTATCAGGCGGGATCCTTGTTTGTAAGTAAATTGCGAGGAAGTCAGGCGGGAGCTCCCTCCCTATGGAGCCCGCACCTCCCGTGCTTCCTCCAGGTCGTCCTCTGGGACGTCCTCCATCGCGCGCTTCCTCTGGGTCGTCCTCCAGCGCGTATCTCTTGGGACGCACGTCGTGCGCTTCCTCTGGGTCGTGTCCCGCACGAGAAGGAGAAGGAGGAGGAGGAGGAGGAGGAGGAGGACGAAGGAGGAAGGAGGAAGAATTGGAGGAGGCGGAGGGCGAGAAGGACGAGGAGGACAAGGAGGAATAGGAGTGCCTTAGGAGGCCCCAGGATGTCCCGGGAGGCCCAGAAGGCTCCAGGAGGCCCCAAGAGGCCCCAGGAGGAGGCAGGAGGCCGGAGGGGGACGCAGGAGGAGGAGGGAGAGGAGGAGGATGGGGAGGAAGATGCAAACGAGGAGGGGTAGGCAGAGGAGGGAGAGGGAGAGGAGGAGGCGGGAGAGGGGAGGAGGAAGAGGAGGAGGAGGAGGAGGAAGATGAGGAGGAGGAGGAGGGAGAGGGAAAGCAGGAGGAGGAGGAGGAGGACGCAGGAGGCATGAGGAACAGGGGGAATGGGGGGAGGAGGCATAACGAGGAGGAGGAGGAGGAACAGGAGGAGGAGGTGGTGGAGGAGGCAAGGGGAGGCAGGGATTGAGGCAGGAGGAGGAGCAGGCAGGATCAGGCAGGAGGAGAAGGATGAGGCAGGAGTAGGTGAGAGAAGGTAGGGGGCAGGAGGAGATCCCCAGGCAAGCTAAACATATTCTCATGCGGGGTCCTACCGTCGGAGTAATTGAGATTTTTGATCTGTCTCGTAGGCTCCTGACACAAGGGCGCCCACTAGATGCTCCAAAATTCCTGGAACGTGTCCTGCGCCACCCGCACCATGGCATCGTGATCGCCCTGTTTCTGAAGGCCTGTGGAAGTTTCAGTCGTATTCAGGCAGCTCGAGCTTCACAAGGTTGCGCGCCCTTTGATTATTCTTGATCTGGATGGGTGATTTGCGGTGGACTCGGCGTCACATGGCGACTCTGACTGTGTGGTTCACAGGACTCTTCGGTTATAGTCTTAACATGGGTTGCAATTCGCGGCTCGGTGATTCTTGCCGCCCCCATTATTCCTCCTCTTCTCTTTCACTATTCCCTCTAAGGCGGGCTGGGGGATCATTGCGTGATGACGATGGCAAGGATGACGATGAGGATGTTAATGAGGATGATGCCGATGATGATTGCGATGACGATGATAATGACGATGATACTGATACTGATAGTGATGATGATGATGAGGATGAGGATGAGGATGCGGATGAAGATGATGATGCTAATCATGATGATTATGACGATGGTCACGACGGCGACGATGATGAGGATGAGGATGATAATGAGGAAGGGGGTGATGAATTTGAGGATGAGGATAAGGATGCAGACAAGGATGCAAATGAGGACGAGGTCGAGGACGAGGTTGATGAGGATGAGGGAAGGATGAGCTTGTGGATGATGGTGATGATGTTGATGCTGATGATGATGATGAGGATGATGAGGATGATGAGGATGAGACGGAGGATAGTGAGGATGAGGATGACGATGGCGATGACGATTAGGGTGAGGATGATGATGTGGATGCTGAGTTTGAGGATGAGGATGAGGATGCAACTGAGGACGAGGATGAGGGTGATGATGATGCTGAGGATGAATATGATGATGCGGATGAGGATGGGTGTGCTGATGGTCATGATGGTTATCATTAGGATGAGGATGAGAAAGAGACCGATGCTGATGCTGCTGATGATGATGCTAATGATGATGAGGAGGAGGATGGTTTTGGAGATTGTGATGCTGATGGTGATGGTGATTGTGATGGTGATGATGAGAATGATGGCGATGATGACGATGACGATGATGATTGTGATGATGATGCTCATGATGATGATGTCGATGACGATGGTGATGATGGTGATGACGATGATGATGACGATGATGATGATAATGATGATGACGATGACGATGACGATGACGATGATGATGATGATGATGATGATGATGATGATTATGATGATGATGATGATGATGATGATGATGATGATATGATGCTGGTGATGATGGTGGTAATGGTGATAATAATTTTGATGATGAGGATGATGAGGATGAGGATGAGGATGATGGTGATGATGATGGTGATGATGGTGATGTTGATGAGGATGAGGATGAGGATGATGAGGATGATGATGAGGATGAGGATGGTGGTGATGATGATGCTGATGCTGATGGTGATGCTGGTGGTGGTAGTAGTGGTGATGGTGATGGTGATGGTGCTGATGATGATGGTGATGATGATGGTGATGGTGATGATGATGATGGTGATAATGATGATGGTGATGATAACGATGATGATAATGATGATGATGATGTCGCTGATGACGATGATGATGCTGGTAGTTGTGATGATGGTGATGGTGGTTGTGGTGGTGATGATGGTGGTGATGATGATGATTTTGATGGTGATGCTGATTATGATGATGGTGACGGTGCTGAGTTTGATGATGATGGTGATGCTGATGATGATGGTGGTGATGATGACGATGATGAGGATGCTGATGACGATGATGATGATGATGATGATGATGATGATGATGATGATGCTGATGATGATGATGATGATGATGATGATGGTGGTGGTGGTGGTGGTGATGATGATGATGAGGATGATGATGAGGATGATGATTATGATGATGGCAACGGCATCCGCGCTGCAGCAGCGCGGCCCTGACAGCGGGGCCCAGAATAGTCGCAATTTACACGCGTTCCCACGGTTTGTTCTTCAATGCTCTGTCCTCTCCGCTCGTGCTTCGAACGCACATCACCGATCGATGTTGGTGTGCTCACCGATCGAGCATGTGATGGAAAGAGAGAGAGAGGGAGAGAAGGAGAGAGACAGAGAGAGAGAGAGAAACGAAAGGAGAAAGAGGAGCAGAGAGATAGAGAGGCGGAGAGTGAGAGAGAGTGAGAGAGACAGAGGTAGGGAGACGGAGAGTGAGAAAGAGAGAGAGAGAGAGAGAAAGAGAGAGAGAGAGAAAGAGAGAGAGAGGGAGACAGCAAGCATCATAACAGCACAGAACACGCTCGTTCCCAGGAGCGCCCTGGAGATCCAGAGGAGCGCGCACGGCGGACTGCGCGCGAGGCAGCTCCGGCGGGAGGAGGTGGCCGCGCAGCGGCGGCAGGAGGTGCAGGCTATGCTGCGCCTCCGCTGGGCGCTGCCCGGCTCGGAAGCGCAGCAGGAGGCGGACGCCGCCCCGGGGACTCCGTGAGCGCGGCCCGCTCTGCGCCCCTCCTGCAGCTCCTCCCCCTCCTCCTCCTCCTCCTCCTCCTCCTCCTCCTCCTCCTCCTCCTCCTCCTCCTCCCCCTCCTCCTCCTCCTCCTCCTCCTCCCTCCTCCTCTCCTCTCCTCCTCCCCTCCTCCTCCAGCTCCTCCTCCTCCTCCTCCTCCTCCTCCTCCTCCTCCGGCTTCTCTTTCTCTCCTCCTCCTCCTCCTCCTCCTCCTCCTCCTCCCCCTCCTCCACCGCCTCTTTCTCTTCACCCTTCCTCCTCCTCCTCCTCCTCGTCCTCCTCTTTCTCCTACTCCTCCTACTCCTCTTCCTACTCCTCCTACTCCTCCTCCTACTCCTCCTCCCCTTCCCCCTCCGTTTGCCCCCCCCCGCTTTCAAGGCGTGTCCACGGGGGCGCGGCGGGCCGAAAGACTGCGGGGGGGCGGCTGCGGCTCCCAGGGCCAGGCCTCCCAGCGTCGTGGAGGAAGGTCGCGGCACG